GAGGCGGAAGCCTCAGTGGGTAAACTTGTCCCTTCCCAACATTTCTGGCTTCACAAAACTCAAATTTGTTTTCACTCAAGTCTTCGGAGAGAGATTTTTCCCAAACATTTTCTGGAAACCCAAAGTACATGGGATGAGCACTGACCTAAGGAGTCTTTATCTCTTATCCACAAGGTGGCATTGTAATTTTGGGAGGTAGTTGCATGGCCTGCCTTGGAAGCTGAATCGCCTTAGGCTTCCTATGTAACTGATAGGAAGGGTGCTCAAAATGGCTTTCCAGAGGATCCTAAATTAGAATTACCCTGTAGGGACTCTTGTTTCTTTCCATCAGCTACAATTAAATAGACTCTTAATTTGGGCTCTCTGTGTTTCACCTAAATCAGATGCCTGAGGACAGCATGAGTGTCCATCTCAGACTGCAAGTGTGGCTTGCTGAGCTGCCTTGACACCCAGCTGTCACAATTAAGTTTGTTAATCAACATTGATTAGGAGAGCAAAGCTACTGAAGGAGGGAGGGAGGAAGGGAGAAAACTATATGCCAGACTATTCTGAATTTGTTGCCTAAGGCATCTGCTCACATTTTAAGTATAAATCAGACACATATTAGATGTGGATGGTTCACGTGGCACCAGCTCGATCCTGCTCTCAGTTTATGGATCACCACCAAAGAAAACAGAGAAGGAAAAACTGCGCCTAAGCAGGTAAAGAAAACAATTATTATATAAAAATGAGTTCTTAATTACCCAGTTGTGCGATCAAAGAAAACTAGCTCTACAATTGTGCAGATACTATGATATTTATTGATACCTCAGCAAGTTAATTCAGAACAGGAAATCCTGGTTAGAAATGAATGTAGTCCATAGAAATCAGTAGTCTGAAATGGGGATTCTCATGTTCATTTTCTTTCTTTTTCATCTTATTTAAACTTTTACAGTTAAGAACTATGCCAACAGGGCTTTTTTATTTTGAGGTTGTTCTATGTGCTGGCAGAAACCTGAAGGCCATTTCACCCCTATGTCTCCACTCAACATCTCCTTGTCTAGCTTATGTTCTTAGGGGACAGGTTGGGGACGAGATTTTCAGCAGATTTGGTGGGCTGTCTCCCTTCATGGGACCCAAACATCTCTTGGCTCATGCTGAGAGCTACCCTTTTTAGCTCTGACTTTGTTTCAGCAGCCAAAGAGCACCAGGATATATGACAGCTCCAGCTTACATCTTTGTAATAGCTCCATATTACTCAAGGAAGATTCCTAGAGAGCCAGAGCTGCAGAGTACATACCCAATGGAGGCCAGGAGCCACCTGCCCTGTCCACACAGCCCATGTGTGCAGCCCTGTAAGGTGTGTGCTGATGCTTTAGCACATGAGCCATGCGATAATTAGGGTTGCTGAAAGTCCCAGTTAGCAGCTATGGCAGTAAGCAAGCCTTGAGTTCAGCCTCAGAAACAGAAAAGCACCGCTTGGAAGTTGTTATGGAACCAGCGTGTGGACTGTAAAAACTATTAAAGCAAATCATTATCTTTGCATCATTTCCCATGTGTGGTAGACCATAAAAAAAAAAAAAACATGTTTGAAAATAGCATCAAGCTTCTTAACCTATTTCCGTGTAGCAGCACTCTTAATGTGCTGGTCAATGGAAGATGGGGCCTTATCCTCATAAAAATGACTCCTACTTACCTGCAGGACAGCCATCTGCTGCTATTTAGGAATGCTGCAGCTAACGTGTTAATTAACTGGAAACAAAATAGGGCATCAGTAAAACACATTGCCACTGTTACTTTGCTGTCTTTGCTTTTCTTCAGTCTTCCCTAAATCTACTTTTCATTCTTTTCAAGAGTGTAGTAATTTTGGCTGCTATTGGCATTCAAACGAAGCTGATATGTCCTGGCAGGCATAATACCGGTCTTTTCTTCATCCATGTGTCAGATGCACTATTTGCATAGCAAGACTGGCTGCTTGGGTTTTGGCCTAGTAAGTGCTGGTATTTTGTTCTGTTTTCATATCACTGAGTGGGGTCACCTTAACATAAATATCATTACTAAAACACTGATTGTTCCCTAACTGAATTTGAAGCTAGTGAGAAGGACTTTGAAAAAGATATCTTTTAGTCCACGGGACTAGCCCCGCTAACAGCTGTTCAGAGAAATAGTCTGTTCCAGAGAAATAGCCTGCCAGTGCCAACTCTGGTCTCCACTTGGGGAGTCAACCTAGACCTCTGAGTAGCTGTCTCTAAAGCTAATGGCATCTAGTGCCACTCACACAGTCCATCTTCACACCAACAATACTTCAGCCATATGTATGAATAAGCAGTTCTGGGTTGCAAAGACAGTCATGGAGAGCAGGCTTTTTTGGCGATGTTTTCCTCAGGCCTGTATCATGGACTTTCTGCAAAAGTAGGATGCCCATTTACTTCTGTATGACTTCATGTCAAATAGACTGTGGGGCATTAATGCCCTATGGTTTAATTATTATGGGTGGACAACAGCTTTTCTTTCTCTTTGTGGTTGGATTGAAGAGTGACCTGACAGTGCAGTGTTTCAGTTCTGAGAAATTAATTCCCAGCCATTTCCTCCCCCATCAGTATGCTGAACCTCAAACCTAGGAATTACACAGGCAGTTCAGATAGGACTTGCTAATCATGGAGTCTTTATTCTTATTCCTAGCTGCTGAATCTGAGTCCATTTCTCCTAAGCACAGTTGTTTCGAAGTTAGACACTGAGTGCGCAGCGGTCATCTCCTGCTTCGGCCTCTGTAGTCAATGGGGAGAGAGAGGGAGAGAAGTTGCTCTCCCCTGAGTGATTCATGCCATTCTAAATGAGGCATCTGAAACAGACAGGTATTAAGCCAGTAATTCCAGAGACTGATTTATCTTCTCTCTCTGTAATATATATATTTTTTCCAACTAAAGCTAGATTCATATCTCTCCTAAATGTGGGCGATTCTTGTCTAGGAAAATATGCGTCCTCTTTCTCCCATAGCTTTTTGCTCCTGATAAAGGCTCACTAGAAATATTTACCAAGGAAGGGACAGAAGGGGTAGTCACACTTGGAAGATGGTTATGCAATTTATAATTTTAGTGTCTGCTCTTTGCTATCTGGATGATAGGGAGATTAGAATTATACAGAGATATTAGCTAAAGAAACAACTATGAACTTCTTTAAACTCCAGTCGCAGCATTATATAACTTTGTGAGGGTGAAATCTAATGGTCTGTTAATTTTTATATCACATTTAAACACTGGTATTTAATCTTCTATATAAAAGCACTTATAACTTAATTAGTTATCCAGTTGTGATCAACTCTGTGACCAATCTGATAACAGCAAAATGCCGTGAGAATGCAGCGACTCAGAGCAGGGGTACTGGTTAGCAGGGGATGGCCGCACAGTGTCCCCAGTTGCTGCAGGAGCATCTTACTGCTCACACTTTGAAGACCTACAGCAACGGCATGGAAACCGAAAAGCCCCGCAAGTAGGGTGACATAGCACTTACACTACACTTTTCATTGCCATAGCTCTTTCTGGGAAAACAAATCAACCAGCGGAGCCAATGTTTAGAAGTCATGAGTAAAGCAAGACTACTAAGATTAAAACAATCTGTAGTTTTGCTTTGTTTGAAATTAAGGGGAAGTGGGCAAGCTGTTGGGGACGGGAAATGGTAAGCAATTTTGTGAAACTGCCTCAAAGATATAAAGGAAGGATCCTTCGGAAAAGTGTATTGTGGCCTCTTTCGACCTGGACAACTGACCAGTGTGCATCTTTGAGTATTTGCTGAGGGTGACAGTGTTTATTGACAAAAAGCACCCACGGGGACAACTGCTGGTGCATTCAGTTGTGACAGTCGGAGATGATGTCCTGCCCCCCCAACCCCATCACACTGCCGGGGGCGACGTTTGGGCCTTGGCCACAGCAGGTCTGGTCTTACCCACCTTCACAACGGCTGGAGCCCACAACCAGGCTTTGACCAGAGGCAGCTGTGGCCTGGTACCTACCTGCTCTGTCAGCCTTATAACTGGGGTGCGAACATAAGCAGAGGAGACTCGTGAACAGCAGGGATGTTAGTTGTTTAATGCACCAGAGTTTGGTTTTGTTTCCCCAACATCCCACTTTCGAGATACAGTAAAACAAACCGCTGGCGAGTGTTGCTCACAGCTCCAGCCACCATGCTGCCCCAAATACATTTGCTTTCTTGTTTTATTTCTCTTACGACAAACCAGCCTTTAAGTGTTCAGTAAATTTCCAGGGCAGAGGTACCTGTTAGCGTCGGCGCTTGAGTTTTTCCAAGTCGCAGACCTTCCCTCAGAGGAGCCAGGCAGAGAGAAAAGCCTCCATCGCTACCACCGTCCCCACCTCCGTCCCTGCCACCAGCCTGGCTGCAACCGGCCCTGGCTTTGGGAAGCATCAGCCCGGAGAACGCCCTCGGGTTGAGTCACGCAGCCAGCGAGGTCCTGGACTACGGAGGCAGCCCCCTGCCCACTGCGCGCAGCAGCAGCAGCCCAGGGCAGAGCAGCCACCGCTGCCCACCAGGCACTCTGTCTGGATTTGTGCCCTGCGCAAAGAAAGCTAATATTCTCTAGTCTAGCGGCACGTCACAGCTGCTCCAGGCCAGCTGGCTCTAGCCCGTCGGACAGTCCCAGCATGTTTAGCTTAGTGGCTACAACGAAGCCCCAGCTCATCCTGGCAGTCAGGTTTCGGCAGCTGAAGCCGGTGGCCGTGCTGGCGCCGCAGCCGCGCATCCGAGCGGGCGCGTGGGCGCCCTGCTGAGCCGCGGTCCGGCTCAGGGAGCAGGCAGGGCTCGCCTCCGACCCCCTCCGCACACACGGCGTGAAAACCCCGGCAATGAGAGTCTTACTTCACCGATGGCACGGCGTTTACGGCATTGCCCTGCGAACAAGAGCTTTACTGCTCCTCAGTTTCCCGCACTGTTTCCTGAAGGCCACAAACGCCGTTAAAGAAGGGCGCTGACCAGCTCAGCAAGGAAAGAGCCAGAGCACCGCACACAAGTTCTGTAAAGAAAATGTTTTATTTAAAGTGTTAAATACCATCACCAGAATGAATTTGATTTACATTAGTTGGTGTTCATTACAGGCCTAATCTGCCTTTTTTTTTTTTCCCCCCAACTGCAATTCCTTTTAACTTTTTAAAACGTACTATGTACAAGACAGCAGTGATCACTGGAATAGTGCTATTTACATGACTAAACCATAAGTAGAGTTGCAGACGTGTGAAAATTAAAAAAAAAAAAAAGCATTAATTTTTTTAAAATAAATACTGCATCATGACAAGTATGTACAAACCTTCCATGCGTCATGTCCTTGATTTTAAAATTGGAAATAATTTATATAGGACTATGCATACAAGAACATGTGAGTGCATCTCACAATTCCAGGAAAAGGGTTATGTGTTTTTGTTCAATTGTAGGGGATACTGTTCACTGCATGTTGGTATTATTTATTTGTTTGCTGGCAGACAAGTGTCTAAATTATTTCCATAAATATAATGTTTACCAGTCTGTCCATTAACTAAATAATAATCCATTATATAATCTCTGAGGACAAGACACAATCTTGATTTATATGATATTGCACAAAGTAAAAGGCATTTTAAGTGTTACTATTATTACTTTTGCCCTCTTAAGAGGCATGTACAATTTTTTAATGGGCAACATTAACAGAATTTCAAATAAAATTAGAATAAGTCTGTGTGGCCTTAAAGTTAAATGCGTTGTATATTTCAAAAATTATTGCAAGATTTCAATATTAAATCTTAAGTAGGTATTAAAGGCATACAAAGACCCAGAAAAGTGGGACATTTTCTTATTAAATGTTAGCCAGTTACCTTCCCTTTAAATAACGTAATTTAATGAGAAGCTTGAACTTGCAGCACCACCCCCTGGTAGTTACTGTCTGCTACAGAAAATAGGGCTTTGAAGCTCTGTTGCCTGCACTGAGGGTTCTGGTAATGGTGACAAATAATTCTTAGAGTGGTACTGATAAACTTTTCTTTAAGGCTATTTTATGAACCAAAGATTGACATTTTTCTGACTGATATTACCGAATTATGTCTTTGCCAACACAACTGTAGTCCATGAAAATTGAACTGTACAGCAGAAGAACTGTAAGAATTAGTAACCTCTGTTGTCTTTATAAACCCAAGAATGTAGCAATTTATTTGGTTTAGTGCAAATAAAATTGTTTAAATTTATTTCCTAAAAAAACCTCAAACATTTACTTAATTTTTTTCTCTTTCCAAAACCTTCCAGAAATGATAGTTCAACCCTTGAATGAATGATGCTGGTGCTGAAAACAAATTTATTGACAACATCTTACAATGGCCATATGATTCCAGTATTTTGCTGTAGAATTCAATCTGAAGGTGAGAAAAAAATGAAAATAAGTTACCATGCACTGTACAATAAATTGCAAAAAGTTCAAATATCTTCTTTATCAAATACATGCTGAATTACATTAATGTACTCCCAAGCCATGTTGCAAAATCCTTTTCAACATGCTTGAAAAAAAGTAAGTTCTTAAACAATGTTTTTCTCAAATAATTCAGAACTGCAAGAACAATCTGCAACCCTGAACCAAATATGGGGCATAAGAGAGTAGTAAGTCAAAAGGTAGCCATTTTAGAGTATGATGGTCATCCTGGGAGGTAGTGGGGAAAAAGAGCAACAGGAAGAAGGGAGATTGGAAGAGAGAAGAGGAAGGAGGAGGTAAAAGAAGTGTACAATTTGCACATTATGTTGAACTTTACAAGGCTTGTACCTTTTACATTTAAATAAATTTAATATATTACACTTATTTCTTGTCACATAAACAGAATTTTAAATATTTGCTAGAAATTATTTGTAATATAAGTCTGCAAAAATACAGACCATGACTGGTTTAAAGAATGATAAACGTGGTGTGTCTTTTTATCACCCTGTTGCATTCTCTTCCCTTTAAAACCATGCACTAGTGAAATTTATTTTTAAAAATAATATAAATTGTTGAAAATGGCTGATTTATTTATTTATTTATTTTTTTGCAAGTTGCAGCCCCAAGAAAATAATTTAAGTGTTCAGCTAAATCTGTGTCCATGCAAAAAAGTTTCTTTAATTTCATACAGTACAGTATATCCACGGAATTTTATTTTTCAGAGAGTCCATCACATCTGGGGTTTCACTGTGACTACAGCTGGAGCTACGAAGCCTGCCACTCTTAAGTCTTGAACCTTTTCAGTATGGAGAGTTTTCAAGTAACTGTTTCAAATGACAGCTGACTTTTCTTTTCAAGAGTTCTTATGTTCTTCCAATGTCTGCAAATCCACTGACTTGCGACATGGCTTCATGGGAGGGAAACGCCATTTCTGCGGCATAACCAAGCTTCAGGAGCGGGGAGGGCAGATAAATAAAGAAACGGGAGCAACAAAATAGATATGCCATTGAAAAGGACTTTTGTTGCATGAAACAGATTGATTCTTTTAGTTTAGTCCATGGCTTCGGATTGGACCAAAACTGAGTGTCCCTGAACTCCAAACCTGTCAGTTTGTTACACCGTCAGTCCTTCCCCTGAGGGCCTTCCATAGGGCACAATGTGTGCAACTTCCTTGAGAACACAGGATCGCGTTGTAGCCCTAGAAACAGGCTCAGAAGACACAACATTAAGCATGCAGTGTTACCAGGGTTTGCGACCTGTAATTTTTTTTTCGTTTTGTAACGCTGGTTGCTATGACAACAGTTTCACAGCTGCTATGAGCGAGCATACGAAGGTCCCGTCGAACTTTCCAGAGATGACTGGGAGGCTCTTCTAGTGAGAGGAGCTAAGGTTGGGTCTACTAGGGAGGAAGGAGGGAAAAGTTTGAACCACCCAATCACCATGTTGGACAGGTCCAGTTCATCTAAAAGTATCTGTGCCACTCCCATAAAGGATTTGTGATCCATTCGTCCGTAGTCTCCCCAAACAATAATCTGTTAGCAAAGGAAACACGAAAAAACAGAGAAGTTTCAGCAAAAATTATGGAAGCTGCCATCTCTTTCTTCAATAGCCTCCATTTATTTAATTATAGCAAGGAATGGAATTATCTGACTGCTGACATAGTTTAACTCTGCATATATTACCATGATGCAGCAGCAGAAGCAACTTGGGCAGTAACTGAAAGAAAGCAAGCCCAGCAAGACAAGGAGCCCATGCACACAACAGAGACAAAATAATCTAGAACTAACTTTTGCTCAGCGCTTTGCACTTGCTAGTCATCAACAGATGTTGCTATATGCCTTATGTGCTCAACACACGTTTGAAACATCAGTACTTGCCAAAAGAAGCTTGAAAGAAAGTTTGAAGCTTATTCACCGAGAACTGTACAGACGGCATGTTTTCAGATGCAGAAAGACTTTGATGCACATTACCTGTAAAACTTTTCCTTGGGGACTTTCTTCAAATGATAGAAGTTGCTGATAAAGTGGTTCCAGAGTTTTTCTTGCTACCTTTGTTTTCTTTTTGGCTATGCAGACTCCATTTTCTAATAAATACACCTTTACGTATGGTGCTTAGAGGGAAAGAAAATAAAGAACAGTAAGTAAAGGAAAAGTCCATATTTTTGCACAACAGATGTAACGTTTTATCATCATATGCTAAAATCTACCATTTAGTGGATATATTGCTTATACGAACAAACAGCTTCACCAACAACATTAACATTTATTAACATGCAAAGCATCCATGCATTTTATTTACTTTATCTCCCTGGTATCCTTTTTCTCTACTTCTTTTTATATGATTCTTTTGCCAAGAAATAACTCAGATTTTGACCTGGAAAAATCTCATATTCCTATATATAGCATCCCTATACTGTACAGTATACAAAATAGGCCTGTTGGGTAAATGAATGACTTGCACTGACTTTGGTGAGATTTGGATCAATGCTCCAAATTGTTAATAATTTAAAATAATCTACAAGGTGAAAATCAGTGGAGAAAAGACTGACACGATTTCTATTTCAGCAGAAGAGCCTACTAAAAATACTATGATATTGTCCTTTTCATACAGTGCTATAGGACATCCGACTATGAAATAAGGAGTAAATATCAAGTACTGGTCTCCTTTTCAGAGCAGGTTCCTATTCCACACATCCTGATAATTCCCTCTTTCCCCCTAAGACTCCTATATCACATCTTCAGCATATGCCTTCCCTTCTGCCCCATAACCAAGGATGCATTTGCTGTTACTAAAATATCTTCAATGTCTTCTGGCACGCCAGAGAACAGTCTGACGTTTTTTCCTCCTGAAGTTTAAAATGTTTCTAAAATGCTCCTAAAGTTTAAAATGTAACTGTTTAAAATGACCTTTTGTATTTACTGCAAGCTTTTATACCAGTTCAGTGTATTTTTACATTTCAGCGTACAATACTGTAATTTAGTGTTATGTGTATCTGCTAAAAGAGTTCTGTTCACTTAAGTTGAACAGTAAAGCCTCAGAAGTTAGGGGGAGAGTTCTTACCTGGCAGTGTCTTTGAACCTGGTTTTACAACAAGGCCACGAGCTCGAATTATTTCTACTTCCAACTGTCCTTTCTTGTCCATCATTCCCACCTGGATATCTCCTAGAAAAGAAAATGAAATCCTGGCATTGTAAATCAGAAATATCTAATCATACTAACAGCTACAGAAAATTCTAGAATGAGTATGTGATGACTTTTCTCTTGCATTAAACCAGTATATATGATCACGATTTTAATACTACTAGATAATTTAAGACTTAGCCTTTTCACTGCTATTTATGCCTGTATACATTACAAAAAAACCCTGTAAACAACATTTCATCTTCCTTTCTCCCTGCCCCAGTCACTTGAAATTATATTCCTTTTTGTCTAATGAATCCCAGAGACATACAGGCAGCAAGTACTTGTATTACGACATAACTCTGCAAAATTGCTTGAAATCTCATTTCACTATGGTTCTAGTTTTAAAAAAAGTATAAAAAGTGATTCAGAGAAAAGATTGGTCCCATTAACCACATTTTAAAGATGCAAAAACCGAAGAAGAACAGATGAAAGATTAATTCCTCAATGCATCTTTCCACTTCTAAGCCTCCTAATGAGCACCCACAATTATGTAAAATCCTGACTGAACTTGAGGTTATAGTTCTGGTTTTAACTGAGTTGTCCAAAATCACATGGCAATATTTAAAGAATTAGAATCTAGATCATTTCTACGCTCTCATTACCAGACCCAGTAGATGACGGTGCAATGCTTACCCATTGATGGTGTTGCCAAAGTTTGTCGCCCTACAAGCTGGGCAGGACCAAGTCCATCCAGAAAATCACTGAACTGGCTATCTGCAGCCAATCTCACACCAGGGAAAATCAAACTAAAAGATAATATTGTGAAAAATTAACAAATACACTGGAATTTGATCGTTTTTTTTCTTTTCTAGATATTTTGCCCATAGCACTTACGTTTTTTGGCACCAGTGCGCAAAAGGAACTTACTTGCACTGACAAGATTGCAAAACAATTACTATAACTTTCAAAACTTCCTAGTGTTCAACAAGTAGCAATTCAGCCTCCAGCACATAACTAAACAGGTGATGGAAACACTAATCCTCATCGTTTTTAATTTCCACGGTAATATTTTTCCATCATGCTCCTTTTCCCAATATATCAACGATGATTGTTAATTACTGCAGTATTCACATGAGATCAGTTCAATATGATACTAATACAGGCCCTTTAGAGTAATTTAGCTACACATGAGTAAAATTTCTCAGGAAATTTTTCTTAGTCAATGTGAACTCAATGGCTGAATGTCAAGAGTATTCGGTGAAACAATTATGTTAGAATGCATATTGATCAATCCTTATAAAAACAACTTTTAAGTGGGCATTCATTAGGAATATTTTTCTAAAAATGTCTCTAAGAATGACATACATTCAGTAATGGAACTGAAATCAATCATGGTAAATAACCAAAGTAACTTAAAATTCAGGTTCTGAAATCTTGCCATAAATTATCTGTGAAACATTACAAGGCAACAATTATTCACAGAAACTGAATCTCATTGATAACTCACTCAGAAAAATGGTAATTTTCTAGATGATCAATGAAAAGAGAAAGAGGCAAAACTAGTGAAATTTACAATGACCATAAATAAATAAATGTACATCTCAAACACACAAAATGCATCAACTTGGACACCAGCTCTGCAAGGTGTATTGTCCAGAGCAGGTATATTGTCCAGAGCTCTGAATACCACTAATAAATCCATCCACAGTAAGATTTTTGTTGGAAATGTCTTGAACACACCATTCCTAGGTCCTTAACTTGGGCCTTTAAGAAAAGCATAATATGGGAAATTAAAATACGTAGGAGCTTTGTATTTCTACCCATGTCACTTCTTCAGGATTAATTAGCACAATTTTGGAAAAACTGTTGAACCTAGTGAAGGACATCTAGAAATGTAAGAAATTTCAGCTCTGTGAAAATATGCAAGGAGATGTACCTGAAAGTAGGGGTTTGCTGAACAGAAAGCATCCTTTTTTTGTAATTTATACACTGCACTATCCCTGCTTCCGCTCCTACCAAACTGCATGCTCCTGCCTGACCTGGCCCCAGGTGTCTTTAACGCGGTGCTGCAGAAATGATCACTGTACCACCCATACAAACAATGGGAAACTCTTTTAGTCAGAGGAGAAAACTTAGGCTTGATCTGCATTCAAATGACAAGAAGTCAGGAAGGGAATCCTGAGCGAAACAGGAACTACATCATTCATCTCACTCTTGTGTAACAATCAGTTTTGTGGAGAAATGTCAGGTAAGAGTATCAGTAATAACTTTTGCTTACTTTCCCTCAGAGCTGTAGCTGTTCATGCTCCCATCTGTAGATTCCCGGCTGGCCTGACGTGTCATCCAGTTCCTCATCTCCACAGCCAGTCCTGTCTCAGTGCTTCTCTGGACAGTGCTCCGCAGCTTCTTACCACCCGCTTCTGCAGAAACGAAACATGAGACTTCGTGATAACACGCTATAATAACTGACTGTTCCTGCAGAATCACAGAGCAGCTGAGGTTGGATGGCCCCTCTGGAGACCATCTAGTCCCACCCTGCTGCTCAAGCAGGGTCAGATAGAGCAGGTTGTGCAGGACCGTGTCCAGTCAGATTTTGAGTACCTCCAAGGATGGAGACCCCATAACTTCTCTGGGCAACATGTTCCAATGTTTGATCACCTTCCCAGTGAGAAAGTGTTTTCTTATGTTCAGACATTTCTTATGTTACGAGGTAGTAGTATAGACAATAAACAATCACTCCACATTGTAGAAACAGTCAAAGTAAGAAATTATTGCTCTATACCAAATCTTGCATTTTAAAAAAACAGTTATTTTAACAACAGGCAACTAGAACAGTTGTCAGAGACCCTTTAAATAACTGTCTCTGTCTGCTTTTCAAGGCCAGATAGCATACATAAAATACCAGTTCCTCAGAGTACTGTCTGCCCGCAGAGGTAACCAGAATTATAGTAGCCATAATCTTGTGTACTTAAAATATGTTTTCTCTAGAGGAACACAGGAAATCAAGAACTCTTCTTGTTCTTCTTTCTCCCTTCCCCCCCTTCCCTTTACACCATCTGGTTTTATTTAATATCTAAAAAATAAGTTTGTGTTGATTTTTATGCACAATATGAAACTTTTTTCCACCTCAAAGATTAGCAAACATGGTATCTGCTTGCATATTTTAACTTTAGTTGCAAAGACAGCAAAGTGACAGATAGCTGAGTACCAAATAAGGGGAAAATACTCAGAAAGAAATGTAACTGCATTTTAGTGTAGGGATTTTGATCAAGACCTTAACTAGAACACATATTGAAGCCCCAGCAAAAAAAGCCAAGAACAAAGTGGGAATGAAGCCTCAGTTTCTTTCTGTCATGAACAATATAGTTACTCCATGTCATTTCTGATTTTAAATTCTATTCCCCGCGATGCTGCAGAGAATTCTGCATTCCAATTTCTTACACCTGCATAAAGGATAAAAAATCCTAGCTTTAGCACAGAGATGTGTGATATACTGACGACAGTCTAAAAGAGTAGCAGTTCTAAATGGACATGACGCCAAATGATACCAGAATTCTTAAATATTGATACAAGAACAGTACAGCAATATACAAGATCCTAAAGGATATCTAGGGACCAGCCCTCTTCTGCAGTCTTTGTAGACCCTGCTACCCTTTCTCCTCCTCTGCCCCATCAAGTACCAGCGGACAGAAGAACAGCTGGGCTTGTGGATTTTAGAAGGAAAGTGAGCAAGGGAGGAGGACATTGTCCTGGGATTAGGAATCTCATAACCTGAGGAGAACGAGTGAGCACCGCGGCTGGGCTAGTGTAAGAGGCACTGTACCTGCGGAGAGGGCACAGGAGGAGGGAACATGTTTCCATGTCCTCACTCAGGGTCACTTTGTCCTACAGGCTACAGTGGGGTTGGAGTCCTGCAAAAACATATCCTAGTGCCTCCAACTGAAGCAGATCAGATAAGGAACACGGGAATTTTGGTGCAGTGGGAAATAGATACCCCAAACACTTTAACAACTACTGACCCCTTGTCAAAGAATGTTTCGTAACATTGCAGTATTTAGCAATAATGAGACATTTTCATATCAGCATCATAAATGATTCAAATCATATTGCTCATTACAAGACTTCAATGCAATCCTCGAGACCATAACTTTCAATCATTACAATGTATATAAGAAATAACAGAAGTAATAATTTTGTTCTGGAACTTCAGCTACCCACATGAATTTAGTACCCAACAGAGCAAAATCATTTTTGTATTACATCAAAACTACTTATAAATAGGCCCATCAATTTCGGGTGCAATAAATATAAACAAAAAAGAGATAAGTCCAATATTACGTTTGAAAAATGAAGAGCAGAAGTCAAAAATTTCATTTCTGTTGGGTTGTAATAGTCCAAGTGTCTGCTCTTTTTATAATTTATATTAAACTAATGAAAGCTGGCAGCTGACTTCCAACACTGGTCCCAAGTTCATCTAAAATCCAGTCACTCGGATCAAAGAAACATTCCCACAAAACTGCCTGGAAAAATTGTGCTACGGTTAGGCAGAAAAAGCACACTGTGTTATAGTTTTGTATGAAAAGCACAGAACTCCTCAGGCTCCATCCTCTTTTCATTAAGGTATCGTTACAGGATATTTCTCTTCTATTTTAAGTGCTCTTTTGATTAATTAGCATTTATTTTTGTTCAGTTCTGCTAAATGGCAGTCATTTTCCGTTAATTGTTGCAAGCATGAACTCTCTCATAAAAACGTAATAGAACATCTCCATCTTGCATGATTCTTCAAGTTTTCATATCCTTACACCTTTACAAGATTTCTGGGTTTGAGATAAACGTGAATTTGAATATGTGATACACAAAGGAGAATGCAGTAATTTTTATTAATTAGTAAGGAAGAGTTTTTCTGAATTACAATTCTAAAGCTGCATACCTCGACTCTAACAAAACACTCATAAGAATCAACACATCTGTTGCATACCAATTTAAGGAGAAATTAAGGCAGAATTAGCACAGCTGCCATTCAAGTCTTCACAGGAGCAGATGTTTCACTGGCTGTTCTTACCATCTTTCTATATTACACTTTTAAGCCGTTTTACTTTCCCACGTTCACTTGAACTCAAATAAGTGCTCTGGTTCATATTAAAACAGGCCAACAGCTGAGAATATGCAACTTTACTATAACATGAAAGTTAAAAACATACACTAAACTCAGCTTTTCTATAAGCACAGGTCCTAATCTGGCATTATCTTGACCGCTACATTGAATTCAAGAAGTGCTGAGAGAAGGCTATGTGAATAACCCTTTTCAAGTGTTCAAGAGAAGTAGGCAGAGCTCTCCAATGGTCTCAAAAGAGAAAGACCTGACTTTGCAGCAATAAGGCTCCTAATCATGATGCTGATGCTTCTTGAAACAATAGTGCAAGATTTTAACAGCAAAAATAGCAATTTGGAATAGAAGTATAGAAGAAGCCTCAGCTCACATACAGGACTCCTGAACCACTACTTTAGAGATGAGTATTCTTTCATATTAAGCTTGGCTAAACTAATATGAAATAATATGCATGAGAAATACCTGCACTTGATTGCCCACAATACTAGCAATACACTGATCCCTGGAAAAATGTAATAAATCAAATAAAATCCCACAATTCATCATGCAATTTAAAAAGCAAAGAGTATTCATATGAATCACAATTCATGTTTCATAAATTCAAAACTGAAATACTTAAAAGGCAATGAAAGCCAACTAGTGGCACTGAAAATGCAAGGTAGGTACACCAAGAAATAGCCTCTAGTGCCACATTTCCATGCTGCAGCTGGTGGAAGATCTGGCGGAAGGTCTTACCATTCCACTAAACCCAAATTATTTTTTCTCAGCCCTTCCTAGAAATTAAATCCTCCTCCTCAGTTGCGTTAATTCAGCAAGCTGTGTGACTGCACTCTGCACAGGATCGAGCCAAAAAGGAACAAATTAGCAATACCTTTAAAGTTGCTCATTTTTTTTTAAGATCCATCACTTCACAAAATCACTTTCAAAAAGTAAACATACAGCCAAATGAGTCAAATTGAGGTAATGTTAATTTCTAGCTAGATAAACCACTTGGGGATGGATCTGCCACTGACACGGTAGTAAACACATATCCACAACCTAACCTACTGTACCTGGTGTCACTGTAAAGGTGGCAGTTTGGATTTATAACCATAAAGCATTTACACATGCAGGTTCACTTCACTTACACTGTTTTTTAATCCCCCCAAATGAAAGGATTCAGAAATTAGAGAGTTCAGTTTTTTGCTACTTATGTTGCTAACCTCTTATACTGAAAATGATTTATCTCACTATTTACCAAAATCTAATGAAGAATAGATTTTCTCCAAGTTAGCATCATCTAACTGCCCTAGAAATAAGAAATTTCTCTCGAGTCCTCATCACAAAATATGGAATATATTATCTGAAAAAATACTAGTTCAGATTCTTGTGGCCATATTGTAAGGAGTGGAACAAATTACAAGAAATAATTGCTTCGGCATTTATGAAAGCACATTCATTCTTATAGTCAATCACACTGGTAATTTAACTAATATGGTTACTGCAAATAGACTCTACAGGCCACATTTTCTAAACTACTTGTGGAATTATTTATTCCCAAAACTCTGAGTCTAAATCACTTGCAATTTAGGAGTGCCAAACCACTCTTAACAGATGAGGGTAAGCTAAAAACTGCAGAGAAGAGGAGAGATTATCTTCTGGGACCTGGGATGTAGCTCTAAGCGAGGGCGCCCAGCTTGCTCTCAGCCCGTGCTTGCCCCAGCTGCTCACTACTCAGCACAGACCACAGGAGAGGCCAGTACTGAGGCAGGCAGATGCAAAGCGGTTATGCCAATTTGAAGGCAGTATGTGATCTCTTGGTAGGACATGTTCTCAGTAGAGAGCAACTGGGGCTTCAGAATTTAGGGACACTTAAATGGTTGGAGTGCCACTTCTCTGCTCTCCCTACGCCACCAAAAGGGGTGCATAAAAATGAGTGCGGTATTTTCATCTGAACTCAGGAGTTAGAGCCACCAGAAGACTAAGCTGTCTGTAAGTGACTATTTCGCAAGAGTGAAGCTCCTTAAGTATCCAGAGATCTGCTTCCGGACATGTTAAGAACATGTTAAAGAAAAATCTGAGCATGAACATTTGATCCCCCTTAAGTAAAGGGAGGAAGGCTAGGTCTCAAGTTCCTTTGCAGACCTACAATAATTTGTCCAGAACAGCCCAAGTTTTGGCCATACTGAACAAGGCATTTAGCTCTTTTTAAAGTACTGCTGGAAGCAGCAGATGAGTTGTTTCTCTCCTTGCATCACCCACAGACCCCAAGCAGCAGACCTGTTAGGATCTACTGCTTTAAGCAGGATTTCGGAAATGCAAATTCCACTG